TGGTGACCATGATGATGGGATGGGGATGATGGGGATGGGGACGATGGTGAAGATGATGGGGATGGGGATGGTGGTGACCATGATGATGGGATGGGGATGAGGATGATGGTGAAGATGATGGGGATGGTGACCATGATGATGGGATGGGGATGATGGGGATGGTGGGGATGGTGAAGATGATGGGGATGGGGATGGTGGTGACCATGATGATGGGATGGGGATGATGGTGAAGATGATGGGGATGGTGACCATGATGATGGGATGGGGATGATGGGGATGGGGACGATGGTGAAGATGATGGGGATGGGGATGGTGGTGACCATGATGATGGGATGGGGATGATGGTGAAGATGATGGGGATGGTGGTGACCATGATGATGGGATGGGGATGATGGGGATGGGGATGATGGTGAAGATGATGGGGATGATGGGGATGATGGTGACCATGATGATGGTGATGGTGACCATGGGGATGGTGATGGTTATGATGGGGATGGTGATGATGGTGACCATGGGGATGGTGATGATGGTGACAGTGATGGTGATGATGATGATGGTGAAGATAATGGTGATGGTGACAATGATGATGGTGGTGATGATGATGATGGGGATGATAACGGTGATGATGGTGACCATGCTGATGGGGATGGTGATGATGGGGATGGTGAAGGTGATGGGGATGTTGATGGTGATAATGGTGATGACGATGATGGTGATGATGATGGTGATGACGATGATGGTGACGATGATGGTGATGGTGGTGACAATGATGATGATGGTGACTGATGGGGATGTTGATGATGATGGTGATGATGGTGATGGTGATGACAATGATGAAGATGGGGATGGTGATGGTGGTGAAGATGATGGTGGTGAAGATGATGGTGGTGAAGATGGTGATGGTGAAGATGGTGATGGTGAAGATGGTGATGATGGCAATGGTGATGACCACAATGATGGTGATGGGGATGATGACGGTGGTGATGACGATGGTGATGACGGTGATGGGGATGGATGGCCACGATGGCAATGACGGTGACAATGGTGCCGATGGTGACAACGGTGGTGCCGGCGCGGCGTCTGGGCAGGCCTGGGAGCGGCTGGAGAAGGCGGAGCACGAGCGGGAGCTGGCGTTGCGCACGGAGCTGATCCGGCAGGAGAAGTTGGAGCAGTTGGCGGCGCGGTTCGACCGCAAAGCCGCCATGAGGGAGACGTGGTTGAGCGAGAACCAGCGCCTCGTCTCCCAGGTACCCCCGGCGAGGCGAGGGGCCCTCTCCCCACCGCCCCCCGGGTGGATTTGGAGGTCGCCGGGGATGGAGGTCCCATCCTTACGTCCCTCCGTCCGTGTCCCCTCCCCCAGGACAATTTTGGGGCGGACATGTCGGCGGTGGAGGCGGCGGTGCGTAAACACGAGGCCATCGAGACGGACATCGTGGCGTACAGCGAGCGGGTGCAGGCGGT